ACTTTGCAGCCTCTTATTTATGTTGTTATGCTTGATTGAATTCTTCTCTCTCCACCGATGGTATAATTGTTTTCCTTGCTGCAACATAATTACCCCGGAAAATAGCTTAAAGGAATTCTGTATTTTAGGTGGTAGAATGTGGTAGTTTGGCATCGTTGTATTCCCTGCTTGCTGGCTCAACAGGTTGGTTCGAGTCAGCCCATTGTGGTTAACCATCCCACTGTCTCCCTTCACCAACTTTGAATCTAAATCCTCCTAAAACGTTGATTCTAGAACCAGGAACTGGTACTCGGACATTTTGCCTCCTACTGGTGATGAGAAAAATTTATCCATCGTCACTTTCATCTTGCCAAATCGGAAAACCATAAGTATATCACCTATTAAGACTCCATAACCAGTTGGACCATTAAACATCACAAAATCATGCTTGTCTGTTCTGCCTTTCATTTTCTTTGCAGCCGAGCTTATAACAGAATTTACGAAAAATTCCACCACGTCGCCTTACCCCCAATTTCATCCCCTTTAATTCCTCTGACTTCTTTTCCAAGTACACGGACCAGCAGTTTATTCTTCTTGCTGCGTGGGCCACTGGAGTATTTTTTATTGCCGAGGGGGCCCTTTTCCATCTTCAATTGAAGGCTCCCCCCCCCCCAGAAAATTGCTGGATTAAGATTGGGAATTTCAGAAGTGATTGTGTTGGGCCATCTCCATTTCTTCATTTAAGCCCATTTCACCTAGGGCTTGATTAAGTGAATCCTTCCAGCCCACTTATTGGGCCATCTTCAAAACTAGGCCAACGTCTTTTACCTTATGAATCTCAGCCCTAATTGTCAGCTCATTCACAAATTTTTGTTTCCCTTTGTTAGATGTCATCTTCATTGTCTCCTGTTTGTTTGGTGATGACGTTCCTGGTTTAGAAACCTCATGTGGAGAAGAAACTAAGACTTCCAACATCTCCTCTTCTTTGGTTGTGCCTTCATGTAGGTGTGCCTTCATGTAGCAGTCCCACACCTTCAAGTTTTCTATTCGTGGCTGCCTTAGGATTATTTAGTGTTGCCATAGCCTTCTGGGTTGCCTCCATTGATTGCAACATTCTGGCATGATCTGGGTTAAGTGTTCAAGAGACCTTTCCAATCCAGGTGAGCACTGGATTTCTGCTTTCAATTTTCTTGTATCTTCTTTTTCATCACATCCACTCGGCTTTCTATCCTTTTCTCGGCCATCAGATTGAACGTGCTTCGATACCAATTGTTAGGGTTCTAACTGGAAGAAAAATGAACAGAAATTAAAACAGAATTGCAGAGATACAGGTAAGTAAATGAAAAGCAAGACTCCTTTCTTT